TCTCCTTAATGGGTCCTCGCGACGATAATTTACATCGGAATACCCTTTGGAGATAATTCAATCGGCTATTCTAGCGGAGATTTCCATTTTAATAAAGGGAAGAAGAAGAAGAAGAAGAAGAAGCCGGGTTCTCCCGTTCCTCCTCGTCCGCTATTCTTTCTTCTCCAGGTATTTCAAGTCCACCTTCGAAATTTTCTATTTTTCTGCGAGCGAAGAAACATGCTCGCGAAGCAGGGATTTCAAATTCTCAATGGAATTCCAATATGACGTTGGTCCTTCGTATCCACTTGTAAATAGGAGGGGTCTTGAAAGCATTTCGTGACCGATAACGTCCTTTCCCTCCACTTTTTATACACAAAGCTTGACCCACGTACAAAGTTCTTCCTAAAGAACTTCTTCTTCTTCTTCTCCTTTTTTATTGTTATTATTATTAGTAGTAGTATTAGCATTATTATTATTATTATTATTATTATTATTGCAAGAGAGCGTACGAGTCACGAGATTTCGCGTTTCCAACGAAGAACTGACTCGTTCGACGGATGAAAAAATCAAGAAAAATAGAGGAACGAGAGTATTTGAAATTCTTCGAGAAATTGTTTTCTCTTCTTGTTATCGTTGCTTGTGCTGCGTATATTTATTTATAATAATAATAATAATAATAATAATTGAATCTCGGATCTAGTTGATCTAAGAATATCGTAAGGAAGAAATTTGAAAATTTGATAATAGCAAATATTTGCTAATTTTCCTTCATCCATCCAACTCTCTTTCTGAGCAATGTTATTTCTCGTTAAATCTATTCCCTCGCACATTCTATGTTTTTTCATCAAGTAACGAGATACCTTCGCAAAGGTAACATCTCAACAAAAATAACAAAATAATTGTGTTCTATTTCGTAGGTAATTTTGCATAAATATAATACACGCCGCAAAATAGCTCTCCGTTATTAATCTCATTATAAATAATAACAATTATCGATGTTGGTTATTAGTACATATGTGTAATAGAATTTTTTCATTCGCGTACCATTATCGTCATCGGACGGACGTTAATTCCTACGGATTAGCCGGAATGTTTAATTGGCAAACATAAAGCATGTTTGTTCGTTCATCCAACAGGACACAGGAGGCCAACAACACAGGAGGCCAACGTGAAGGACCATTTGATTCCGTCGTCGTTCTCAGAGAATAACAAACCAAACAAGATATTTTTATTGATTTCTATTCCACACGAGGAAAGAAAATAAAAAATATAAAAACACAAAAACACAAAATATATTGCCACACGTAGTTAAAGAGATAAAAAGTTTGTACGTGAAACTAAACAAATGCGCCAAGAGAGTCTCTGAAAGGATGCAGTCGCAAAAAAAGCATGCGAGAGAGAGAGTAAAAGTTATTTTTATTTTTGTTTTCCTCTCTCTCTCTCTCTCTCTCTCTCTCTCTCTTTCTCTCTGAGGAAACGGAGAAACTCGCAAGCCGAACGTCATTAACATCACTCGAATAACAAGGAGACTCGAGTCTCTCGTTCGACGAAATGCTCATCTACCTTTGTCGGATTTTTGAACGGTATTATCTCCCAGTAAGCGACATACCATTTGTTCTCTAGTGTGTGTGTATATAGGTGTGAGTGCTTGCTTGCGGTTGTATAGACGCTCTACGTCTATGCGTGTGCGAATAAATCCTGTGAAAAGAGAATTGCAAAGGGAAATATTTTCGAGTCAAACACAGTCGCTTTACACCCACTTCACATTTTTATTCGACACGCGAGCACAAGCGCATAGATTTACTTTGAACATTTTCCAATTCGATCATATATTTTTAGGTCGGATAAATTTTCATAATAATTCATAATTAATTATACAAATATGGATTTCCACGCGAGAAAGTATATAATAGGAATTTTCTGTAAAGAAAAGCGGCTTAAAAAAAGATTTTCGATCACTTTGTATAGGAAATAATTGAAATGTATAAAAAAGGAAKGAAGGGGGATTGGGGAGGAAGGGGGAATAAGAATAGTAGGATAACATTAAAGACGAGAAACTCGTAGCACACTATTTATAATCCTCTTGGTTTTATCCTCTCGAAAGGAGCTGCCTCGGCTACTTAACGAAGGTCGAGTGAGATCGTACGAATGAAAAGTAGGAAGGTTGCGATCTCCTAATAGTTTAGACGAAAAAATAGAGAGCAAAAAAAAAAGTACAATTTTAATACAATGAGGATTTACAGTTATGCGAATAAGAAAATGAAGAGAAAGATTTGGAATGAACCGAGTTATCCAGCTGACTCTTACAAAATGCATTTAAAAGGTAGACTTTTTGCTCGTTAGCAACTCGTTCGTAGCTCGTTCGTTCGTTCGTAGCTCGTTCGTTCGTAGCTCGTTCGTTCGTGCTTCGACGAATGGCGGCATGTCGATTGCTACCGTGGCAATTTTCTCAGGCTGAATGCCAAAAATTCCTCTCGGTTCATTAAAGGAATGCAAAGGGGGGGGGGAAAAAATATGACTAAAAACATTTCAAAACTCGATCTTTAACAGCTTCGACAAAAATACTAAATAATACGCGATTTCTTTTCATCGTTTCAACGTATTTTTAGGATTTTATTTCGAGCATAAAAAAAAAAAAAATAAAAAGAGAGAAGCTTCGCGTGCGTAGCATCCGAAAACGAATTTGAAGAAAACTACCCTTGGGTGAATAAAAAAAAAAAAACAACGAAAAAACAAAAAAAGAACAAAGAGAAAGAAAATGCTTTCGGAGAAGAAGCAGTTAAGATGAAAATCGTTCTTTTTATAGGAACCAAGTAGTAATTTCGCGAAAAGTTCTTGCCTCGAGTGCTCGCAGATAGAGAAGTCAGTCGCGTTGATAATTACACTCGTTCCTGATGACCGGTAAAAGTCGATGAAATGAAGAAAAGAGAGAAAGGAAGGAAGGAAGGAAGGAAGGAACGAACGAAGGACAAGAAAAAGAACAAGAAAAGGAAAAAGAAGTGGACGAAGAGGAAGAAAGTTGGTCGTGTAAGGGGAAAAGCTTCGCGTAGAAAATCATTCGGGAAGAAAATCTCGAGGACATTTTATTTTGTTTTCTCTCTTTCTTTCTTCCTTTCTTTCTTTCTTTCTTTCATTCGTTCCTTCTTATTGGTTTTCGCGTTGAAGGTAAAGGGAGGACTTGAGCACTATACGATAACATTGTAATCTTGTGGAAAGGAAAACGCGTTTCCCTCGAGTGTCTACGTGTTACACACTCCGCCAAGTATTCCGAACGATCATTAGTTACAAAAGAATGGAAGTCGTCCTGGATAAAAGGATATATGTACACACATGTATACGTACCAAGGGGTAAGTGTAAGTCGCAGATATGAACAAACCAGACGAGCGTGGAAATAACTACCTAAAGAGAGAAAAAGAAAGAAAAAAACAGAAAAAAAGAGAAGCAGAAAAAGATAGAGAGATGGATATTCTCGATGAAAAAGATTAATGGCAGGGTCTAAGACTTATAATAAATCTTTATGAGAATTCTACCGATAGTTTCTTTTTCCTATATCATTTATTATTACCACCGTGTTTCGTCAGTAAGAAACCTAACAGTTTGCTTAATTTAGTCCTATGTACGTCGTTTGAAAAAATAATAGGAGAACTGTTAACGAGATAGAGAATAGAGGTGAATGAGTCAAGTTTCTCACGTTATATCTGTATCACATTTATATAGAAGCATTAGTCGATGGCTTTTGATCTCGATCTAAATTTCGGAAACTTGCATTCAAATTGGAGAAGCAGAGGAAAACAGAGATGGTTGGTTAAAGAGAGCAGGAGTTCAATTCGCTTTTGCAAGCCCGTATTTCGACGCAAATTAGTAAATGATTGCTCGGAACGGGCCCATAGTTCGGCCCTCAACGATTTGCCGTAGTTTTGTTAGTTGCATTTGTCTCTCTCCTAACACTTATGGTTAACCAAAGGGAGTTTCTCCATCCATCTAGTTGGAGTCGGCGTAATCTTGACTATTTTCAACACTTTCCAAAGCGATTTGAATAGAACTTTTTGATATTAGTCTGTTTTAGCGACAGAAATAGATGCAGATATATTATTTCTATTGTAATATATACACGTCAATCGAATTGGTGCTTTTGCAAAGTTTTCAAAGTATCGATACGTTTGTAGCTAAGGTCTTGTTTTCTCCTTTCGCATGCTTACACTTTGTCCTAGTTTTCCGTAGAATCCTTTGACTTTGTTTTCCACAAAGCAAACATCTAACATAAGATATCCGAACAAATGGATAGAGATAAATAGTGAATATCCTTCTCATTTTGCACGAATGTCTATCATTGACGAAAATAAAATGTAATCGAAGCAATTGCAGCTTTTCCTTTTTATCTTTTTTCTCTTGTAGGATCTGCCGATGCTTCAGATGGAAAATATCGAAGGACGAAAAGAAACGCGTCGACGATAATTATTCGAAAAGGTGGATGAAAGGTTCGTTCATCCAAGTCTCTCCCTACTTTATTCCTCTTTTCCTTTCTTTCTTGTTTTTTTTTTTTTTTTTTTTTTTTTACATAATCTTTAGTATCGAAATCATCTCGATGAAGAAGAACGAGCCTTGCAGGCTCTTGAAAAGTAAAAAAAAAGATAGGAAAAGAAATGAGTAGGTATCCTTCCTTCCTTCCTTCCTTCCTTCCTTCTTACCCTCTTTACGAAAAGAAGAAAAAACAGCGAGAGTGAGATTATCGAAGGAATGGGAGAACTCATTCCATAATGGTCAGTGCTTCCTTCTAACCGACTCTTGGTCCTTGATTGGCCAATTTACCTGTCCCTTTGTTCCCTTCCTATCTTTCTCCTACCTTGTTAGTATAATGCTTTAACTCCAATGAACAATTGCATCTGATTTTTCATATATAAAAGAAGGAGTGGGAAGGAAAAAAAGAATAAAGTTCGATCGAATGAATTTTGATGTAATTTCGTCGGAGTAAGTGAAAGAAAAGAAGAAGAAGAAGAAGAAGAAGAAGAGCGCTCACCTGCCTTGCAGACATCGATGTCCAGGTCGCCGGTAATCGCATGAGGAAATATGGTGTTGGTAAGCTCTTCTATGGTAAATCTTTTACGACGATGATGTCGATGATGTTTCGTTTCCTCAAATTGATATGAATCCTTATTAAGGGCCCGACCGTCGACGAGACATGCCGCCGTTAAGCATAGTATCGACAGGATGATCTCCATCTTGAAGCTCATCTCGCGTCGATCGATCGAATTAACGAGACGAAAAGGAGGAATTCGATCGACGATTCGGTCATCACAGACCGATCGTACTACCGTTCGAATAACTTCATTTGCCGTTGTTTTCTTCTCTCTTCACTTTTTCACTTTCTTTCGTCTTTCTTCGTCTTTCTTCGTCTTTCTTTGATCTTTATTGCAATAACGCTTCCTCCTTTCTCTTTTCTTAATAATTGCAATTTACATTGACGGATCAAGCGGGTTCATTTCGTCTCTTTCTCTTTTGGCAGTGGCGGGAAAATTGGTCGAAATGAAAATCAGCAAACGCGTTTACAGGAAACTTATTTTCCTCGATTGTTTGAAGACATCATTGAAAGATAAAACATCGATACTTGTTTTGTACTAAATGAATCTTCTTTTCTCTTTTCGCGAGTGTCTCTATTTGAAATTTCGCGGGAATATTATTGCGTGGTCGTTTAAACGAGATACTTACAATTAGTATCTCTTATCAAAGAACTAAGAAAAGAAATTGACACGAGGTATGTGACGTAAGAATAGCGTTAAATCACAAGCTCTTGCTCTTCCTCCTACTCCTCAGTTTGTTATTAATCTTAGTTTGTCGCAATCACTTTTCGCGGAAGAAAATGAAATCGAATAGGGAAGGAGGAGTAAAAAAAAGGAAAAATAGGTAAAAAAAAAAGGAAGAAACGATAAGTATAAAGTCAAAGTTCGATAAATAAATGTGTATAACCGGCGACGAGTCGTCCTTGCGTGGAGAACGTGGAGAACAGACTGATCGTCGTCCCTCGCGGCTGCTGCCTGCGAACGCGTCGTTCGAAAGCGCGCGCTCGTACTGGCATTAAGTCGACCGAGAGATACGGAGGAAGGGATAGGTACACACCGAATCAGAGGGGATTGCAACGACTGTCGTCGTTCCCCTCTCTCGCACGAGGGTGGCCGAGACACTGACCGAGTGCCGCGCGGGAAGATGCTACGAATTACAAATATAGCCCGATCCATTTAAATATGCTATTTCTATTGGTCCTAACAACGAAATGCTAGTTAAAGGGAGAGGGAATAGCTAATTCAGTAACTCGGCAATATCCTTTTACGTAACACTCGACTCGCGTATCTGGCTTTGATCTGAGAAGGGTGGAAGCTTCGTTCGTTCGTTCGTTCGTTCGTTCGTTCCTTCCTTCCTTCAACTAAATGCAGCCAGTCCTTCCTGCAGCCGTTTCAACGAGCTACGCACACAAACAAAACCGATAAATATTCGACCAGAGAGACAACGGCTTGTTGTTAGTTTGGCCCTTCGCCCACAGAAACACGTGTTCCCTGTCCCACGCAAGAACGTGTATCGGTCAAGTATCGGATTACTGTCATGGAATCACCCTTTAGGAACCCCGTCAGTCTGTCTGTCGAAGGGTAAGTAGTGCATGTCGACGCTGCCCGGAAACCCTCCGCAAGAATAATCTCTGACGATAGGAGGGAAATACCGAATTCTCTTTTAACGTGTCACATCCGAAAGCACGACTATCCCTTCACACACTCTCCACACACTCTCCACAGAACACCCATGCCCTCAGCCAACGTCGCTTATCTAAACAAATCGTTCGAACGACTATTGTTTCTACTATTGTTGTCGTCAACAGGCACGCTTCACACTATCTCTATTTCATTTTACATCACCGATTCAACCAAACCATTTTATATACACTTTACCTTATCCTCTATCGACGTTAGTATAATACCTGATCTCTCCTTGAGACTACACATTCGACCAGTGATTTCTTTCCTATGAGACGAGTGCATAATATCAGAAATAAAATAAGTTATTATATAATATAATTAAAATATTATTTTTATTTTTCTATTGTAATTATTTATTTAATAATTATAAAAATTAGCGCCTGTAAAGATGCAACCCTTCAGACACACTTTGAAAATGTTGCTTGCGAGCGCCATCTCGCGAGACGGGATTTTTTTTCAGCCCAAACTGTTTATACACGTATGTATTACGGGTTGCCTATCTTTCGGGCAGAAAAAAATTCTGTCCCAACAGATGACGCTCGCAAGCAACATTTTCAAAGTGTGTCTGGAGGGTTGCATCCCTACAGGCGTAATATTTTTATAAATTATAATACAAATTTAACTTTAATTTTGTAATTAATACAAAATATTTTATCTCATTCTCTCTGAGGCTAAATCCTTCTTACCAACATAGCAGTTTTTTTCATTTCATCGAGTTTGTTTGTCATTTTAAAAAAAGTTTTCACTTCAATAGGAAAAAATTGGACTCATTAAAGATTTGCATGTTTTTTGTCTGTTTTGATCACCCGAGTAGATTTTCGATTGGAGGAAATCGTGGAATAATCGTGGGATATTCGTGGAATATTCGTGGGATATTCGTGGGTAAAATTAAAGGAACCTCAGTGAAATCGCACTCGTATCGTTAATATTTCATGTGCGTGGAAATACGATAGGTAGGTTGGTAGGTAGGTTGGTAGGTAGGTTGGTAGGTAGGTCGGTAGGTACTGTGTAGGCAGGCAGCAAAACTAGCTGGTTCACTCGGTGTGCAAGTGGAACACACCGCACAAACGATAAATTCTTATATTCGAGCAACAACCAACGAGCAACATCACTATAGCTAGCAGCCGTTTCCAATGGAAATGAAATCGATCGATCGTAAAATTTGGCATGATTATTCGCTTCCTCTTCTCTTCCCTTCTCGTGCCTGTATTTTCTCGATTTGTTGCTCAATATATACTTTAATCGTTTCAAATTTGTATTGTTTTCTTTTCATTTTATCCGGAGAAACTATTAAACTTAACGATTATAATTATATCTTACAATAAGTTATTGTTCGTGTTTGAAATTTGTCCTGTCCAACACGTTACCTTGGATCGCGAAATTAAATCCGAGAAAAGTTAAATAAAGAACATTCTTTAGAAAGGAGAAGAAGAGTGACAAAAAACTACAAGATTGAAATGAATAAAAGAGAGAAATGGTATGGAGGAAGAAAAAATGAAGGAAGGACAGAGAAAGCAGCAAAACGAACATACAGGAGTCTTTAAGAGAACCACCGACTAGTAATTAATCAGCGTTAACAGGCACTCTTCTTTCCTCTAAGCATAATAAACCTTGTTGGCTCGTCGAACTTTTCCAACAAAACTTCCTTACTTCCGTTAGACGAGAATTTGTTGAAATAATCGCTCAAACGAAATCTCTTAAGACTTAAAACTTAATCTTTTAAACATCGACGTCCCGGAATTCAGTCTTTTCCTTCGTTAATTAATTAATTAATCAATCGACGATTTAATTGAGCCATTTCTTCTTCACACAATGTTCTAAAAATCTAAAATTCATATTTCTTCAATTTTTAGGACACCCTGTACAGATGTATAAAATATAATTGATTTATGAAGGTTCTGATAAAGCGTCAACTCTCGTTTAATAGGCCTATTCGAACTTGATGGAATTCCAAGTAACAATTTTAATAACTTTTTCCGCGCCTTTTTTTTTGTCGATGATAACGTAAAAAAGTCAAGGACACGTACAGAGCACACAGCTACCATTCATCAACGAAGATAGAGAGAGAGAGAGAGAGAGAGAGAGAGAGCGCGAAAGAGGGAGAGTGAAAGGAAAGCTTTAAAACGATCGTCGAACAGAGGGATGATAAATGCCTCGCTTTAAAACGTTTGACTACGTTAATTAATATGATGAGTATGATCAAACGTGAAACGTGCTTTGAAAGTAGATACTATATTCAAATCATTGATCTCGTTTGTAATCGAACTTTACGACGACGAATCTATTCTTTTGCAATCATATTGCATAGGAAAAATAATCAAGGAAAATTCTATTTCCAAAATAGATAAATCCTCATTCATTTGGATGACCATTTTCGCCACTCTTCTTGAATACTACATCAAATCGTTGAGTATGCATATTATTTCTCTTTTTTTCTTTTTTTCTTTTTTTACAGAAATATGTGGTACAACGATATTCCATTCGGGAAATCTATAAACGAAGCTAGCTCCGAGAAAATACGCAGGAATTCGTTAGACATACATATGTTAATAGACCATCGTCCATATACAAGCGAGATTGAATCTGGTAAAGTAGTAAATTCGATTAAATTTTCGAGAAAATAAAAGCGAGTTCGTGCTTTGTAATTCGATTATCAATAACAGAGGAAACGTTATTATATCAAAGAGTATATGTACTGAAATGCCAACTAATGTAAAATATTCTACGAACGTATTCATGTTGGAAGATATAAATTACAATTTTACGAATGATACTAGAAAGTAATCTATTTCAAATATTTAATCTATTGCTAATAAATAAATGTTTTCATCGAAAAAATGTATATATGCAATGCACAACGATAATTTACAAATGTCATTTGCAACATCTATAGTTATCCTCATTATGTTGTAATTGTAAAAGAAATAAAATTAAACAACTAACCAATAATATATCGTAAAACAAAGAAAAATATATCGCGAATATCGATTTGCAAAGGATTATAACTAGAATAGAATTTTGAATTTTGTTCCGATCCCGCGCCACGTAACCGCGCTCCAATTGGTCAGCCGAAGAAGGAGGTGTAGCTTATTACATCACGGTTTCGTGCTATGCCGTGCCGTGCCGTGCCGTGCTCCTTTACTCCGTAGTCACGACGTGAACGAACTTTTATTTCCTATTAATATCTTTTATTCAATAATGGCGGTAGCTCCTGGAAAATGTGAAACACCTGGATGCGAAGCAGAGGCTAGCTTACAATGTCCAACCTGTTTAAAAATTGGTATACAGGGTTCATACTTTTGTACTCAGGTAAGGATACGTTACGTACATTTATAGGTTAAGTCGACCAGTGTATTTTTTTTTATTCTATGTAATCCAATCCGACCAGTATAACCATGAGGTAAAAAAAGAAATATAAAGAGGTGTTATCGGTTTTCATGTAGTTTTCATTAGTACTTTTATATATTATATATTTCTTTTTTACAGAAATGCTTTAAACAAAGTTGGAACACGCATAAAGTAATTCATCAACTTGCAAGTGAGTGTGCCTTTCTGATATTACTATGATTTATTAGAGTAAGTTAGTAATAAAGTTTGTCATGTTTTTTTTTTTTTTTTTTTTAATTGATATATAATTAGAAGGAGAAAATACGGATAAAAGTGCCAAAGAGTTCAATCCTTGGCCACATTTTCACTACACTGGAAAGTTACGTCCCTATAAGAATGTGCCACGTCGTGAAGTACCAGAATATATTGGCCGTCCAGACTATGCTCGACATGAAACTGGAATTCCTATTAGCGAACAAGCAGTCAGAGGTTCTGCTCAAATAAAAGTACTCAACGATGAAGAAATTGAAGGAATGCGTGTTGCTTGCAAGGTGATGCACCTCATCAAATTTCACATTAAATCATAAATCTTGATAATGTGCTAAGGGCATTTTGACTTAATTATTTCTATATGTAAGCTATTAATTAGTTGGTCTTAAAATTAGAATAATGTACATAGCTTGGTCGAGAGGTCTTGGATGAAGCTGCAAAAGCATGCGACGTAGGTGTTACAACAGCGGAAATTGACAGGGTTGTTCACGAAGCCTGTATAGAACGAGATTGTTATCCTTCTCCGTTGAACTATTACCAATTTCCTGCTAGTTGTTGCACATCGGTCAATGAAGTCATCTGCCATGGTATACCTGATACAAGGCCACTACAAGACGGAGACATCTGTAATGGTAAGAGTTGATCATTCGATCATTAATAAATGATTATTTCTACGTTTAACGAATGATCTATTTATTTTCAGTCGATGTCACCGTATATCATAAAGGTTTTCACGGAGATCTGAACGAAACTTTTCTGGTAGGAAATGTTAAACCAGAAGTAAGAAAATTAGTTGAAGTAACGTACGAGTGTTTATCGAAAGCTATAAATATTGTACGCCCTGGTGAAAAATACAGAGATATCGGTAATGTGATACAGAAGCATGCTCAAGCTAATGGTTTCAGCGTCGTACGTAGTTATTGTGGACATGGAATACATCGCCTTTTCCATACTGCACCGAATGTACCACACTATGCCAGTAAGTAATATCTATTAATTATCATTTATAAATGATTATATCCTGCGATTCACTTAGTACATGAGATTTTCCTTAGAAAATAAAGCGGTAGGCATTATGAAACCCGGTCACTGCTTCACAATAGAGCCAATGATATCTCAAGGTACATGGAGGGATGAAATGTGGCCTGACGGTTGGACTGCTGTTACAGCAGACGGTAGATGGTCAGCACAATTTGAACAAACTCTTTTGGTCACAGAAAAGGGCTGTGATATTCTAACAAAGCGTCTGACAAATGACGGTAAACCGTGGTTCATGGATCATTCTTAGTACACTTTTTCGTAATAATGATCAAAATCAAATAACGTCATCAAGGTGTGCGTATTATATTTTTAACAGTAAAATTAAGATTTTATTTTCCGTGCCTGTTTTGTCGATTGAAAAAGCATTGTGTCAAAACTGAAAGTGATTAACCAGACTAGAGAAACCAATGGATATGGCCGTGCCCAGTACAGTTTCTTTAATGATTCTCTTCCTATCCAAAAAGAAAAAGAATACTGGTTCCTGTATCATATTAATATTTCATCAAAATGATGATTATGTAAATACACACGAGTATAATTACCTTTCAATTACGCGGGTTGTTCCAAATAAAATATTCAAATAATGTAAGACAATGGAAATACTCTATTTCTTTGCAGGTAGAAATAAATAAGTCAACAAATAGCCTAAATACAATAAATAAATAAATAAATAAATAAATAATACCGAATAAATTAAATTAATCCAGCGATTCGTAGGATCGATCGCTTTAGAACGATATCTCTCGAATAATGATTGTAAAGCTATCAGAATCGATAGTTGCTTTTGCATAATCGTTTTGATCATGGAAATCACCTGTTAACAATATCCTGATACTACTCATATATAATGTGTTACTTATATTAGTAAATATTTTCATTTTCCACTTTTAGATCTAAGTCGTGTACCAAATTCAGATTTAGAATTTTGATCATAAATAATTCGCTCGTTCGACGAAGTAGTTGTTCGAGAATCCTTCGCGTCGTCTTCATCAATTTCGTATTCGTACTCTATTTTCTCGTTGCTCTGTGAATCGGAATCGTTCATGTATTCTTCGTCATCAGGTACCATTATCCGTAAAGGTCGCTTTTCTTCATTTACATTTTGTTGATTTAATCTTCGTCGATGTTGTTGTTGTTGTTGTTGTTGTTGTTGTTGTTGTAGAAAATGTTTATCGCGTCTTTCATTTTCAGTCTATAAAAGTTGACATTATTATTAACATATCTAGATTTTAATATTTATCATTTTATAACAAATATACCTGTTCCTGTTGATGAATACGTTGCTGATGATACTGCTGTTGCTGTTCGTACTGTTGCTGCTGCTGTTGCTGCTGCTGTTGCTGTTGTTGTTGAGCATCTTGATAATTCTCTTCCTTGTGATTAGACGGTATAGTCTCGCTTTGCTGTTTTTGTTTCTCCTGTTGTTGCTTTCGTAAATGTTCGATCAACTGACTATTTACGTTTCCAGCAGCAGCTAATGCAGCTAATTTCTCTGCTGCTTCGCGACTAGGCAAAGATGTGTAGAATTGTGTCGATAGTGCACCGTTATTGTTAATTTTGTTAAAATATGTCGATTGTGCAGCTCGATTATTCGTTTCTTCATAATCAATATTATTTTCTGTTTGTTCAACCGGTACTTCAGCGGTATAACTTAATTCGTCGTCAAATTGTAGGTCAGCCTGTTGTATATTTGAGGGTTCCGCCTCCAAATTGTAATCCGCTGTAACTCTACTGGATGCGAAATTTTGATCTAATAATATCTGTTGTTGTTCGTGTTGTAATTGTTGCTGTTGTTGCTGTTGTTGCTGCTGTTGCTGCTGTTGCTGCTGTTGCTGTTGTTGCTGCTGATTGTCTTGCTCATCATAGTTAAAGGAATGCATCTGTGGTTGAGAGAAACTCGTAGCTCCGTTAGGTTGGAGAAGTTGGCCGAGTTGTTGCTGTAGTAAATGTTGCTGTAGTTGAGGTTGTTGACCTGTAAATGTAAATGTAATTAAAATTCGTTATTTCTCTATATGTCAGTTAATATTTCTATGATTTACGAACCTGCCGTATATTGTTCCGTAAGTTTATGCGGAAAGCTGTTTAAGAGATCGTAAAGTTGAGTAGCTGATAAAGGTGGACCTGCTGGTACCGGATGTCCAACGTGCAAGTCAGGAATTTGATTGCCAATCGTATTAGCTGCCTGAGTGGCAGTACCAGGGAAACCCACGTGAAGAGAACTGCGCAAGTTCGTTTGCATCGGTGTGTCAGTTTGGCCGAATTGAATATTCGCTAAACCCGTGTTGGTTATAGGCGGATGATTGAGGAAAACTTCGTTGTTTTGTAAGTCAGGATTGACTACAGTAGCCAACCTGGTTACGTCAAATTCCGGAGTGAAAAACGTTGGTTGTACAGTATGATACTCTTTTTGAGATAGATCATTATTCTCTGTCACTTCGTATTGATGTTGAGCAGGCGTTGGACTGGTTACCGTTCGTTGTGGTACTAAACTAGTGCCAATAGTCGCTAATCCGAAATCATTTGCCAATGTGTTAGCTGCAATCAATGGAATATCATTGTCATATATTATTTCATTAGATAAATCTATTTTATCAAACTCACTCTGTAGATTGAGATTGTAATTGAGATCGTTACTATACTGATGCTGAGAAACGGTTTGCTGTCCAGAATTAGCTTCAGAATTGTAAGGTTTATCCGCTGGACTGAGATTAGGTGCAGGTATCGTATGAATAGGACCTTTATCGTCGTCGATGCTACCTCGATGAGTCGGTGGCAATATTATAGGTTCGGGCCTGTATTCCGGACTATATTCCGGAACCTGGTTCATTGTATGAAATTCTTTGATCGGTGGACGTTGTGGGAGTACAGCATGATTGTTCAAGATTCCAAGAACTGGCATTTGAGTTTTCCAGGTAGTAGGAAGGACGTTGAACATCGGAGGCCGTCTAATTCTGAGATCGAGAATGATTTGCCTCGTATTTTTGTATTATTTTTGAAACATTTGAAAAGGGAATAAAGAAGAACACGATCCTTCCTATTTCATTCCCTTTTCCTCTTACCTATAATTTGGAGCTTTATAAGATATTCTTTTATGAGGAAAAGTTGCACCAATGTGTATCGTGTTTCCCATTGAAATTCTAGGTCCCATCGGCCATGATTTCTTGAATATCGGTGGTGCATGAGGCAAAGGGGCTAAAGGTCTTCTTAGTTTTTGCCTTGCTTCGGAGAAACAGATACACATGGCCAAGAGCCAACAAATCCAGCCGATCACCTACAATTTTCAACAGCTTAACGTCATTTAATGCGCTTTCGATAATCCAATTTTTCTTTCAGACGTTTACATTCCGACAATATTTTTCGTTAAACGATACGTGAGACGAATTCGAGCATTCATAACCGGAAATCCAGGTATGTTAAGATGATACCGTGATGTTACGGTACTTCATATCGGCACGTGCTTCTCCTTTCCTTCTAGCCAGTATAGAAAAGTTTGGCTTTGTATATTATGTACTGTATTTATATATTTAAATATGATTGATGTGTGAATGTGTGCGCGTGTGTGCGCGTGTGTGTGACGCTCTAGTGGATGGATGAAGAGAGAAGAAACAAAAGTTTCGTTTTGAGTCGACGAATCGAAGTGGGACATTGTCCCACATCGATGCGAAGAAAAGCGAAGATAAGCAGGACGGCAGCGGAGGGGGAAGAGAAAGAGAGAAGAAGATACGACGAACCGTGAAAATCATCGTATGTATGTGTATAGTATAACGAGTAATCGTAAACACAATAGAAATTTCTACACCTGTTGTTGTTGTTGTTTAGAGTGACTTTGATGATCAATTTCCTCGAATGTTTTAATTAGGATTTTCGATCGATTGTTGTTAAGTCATTTTGTTCTCTTGTTCATTATTCACGGTTTAACATTCATTCAAATTTTATGTTCACGCATGCACTACGATTTTTAAACTATTTACACAAAATTATCAACGTTTGTTTAAATTGGTTTTAGATGCGACTAGTAAGATGGCATTTCGAAAAATAATATAACAAGTTATGAATGAGAACATTTTGTTCATTAAAATCGATATAAATAATATGAGGAAAAAGACTTACCTTCATGATCGAAAATAGATAGCAGACAGCAGTTAGAGATGAATCCTGATGCAACCCTGAAAAAATATGCCACACAGAGAAATATAAACGGCCGGCTTTTCTCTCGCGATTCGAAGCCGGAAAACCGGAAAGCGGATTTTCGAAATCTTTCTGGTGGCCTTGGTTATTGGCCGTCGAGGAAGCACTGCGCCTTCTGCACACAATTAGGTCATTGTCCTTCATTTATACCCGTCGACGAACGTACGCTGATCATCGGGGAAGCCAAAAGGTTACTGCTTACTCCTACTCTCGCATTCGCTTCGATGCGTTCAGTGCACTTCCCAACGAGTTTCATCGCCAAAAGAAATTTTTTATTTTCTTGACATTCTTTTCATTGCTAAGCAATTAATCCTACTAAATGATAATTCAAATAAACTCCAAATAAATGCTTATTACTTTAAGGATTTAAGTATGAAACATTTTATTTCATTTGTTTAATCATAAAACTAATTAATATTTCATCTATTAATATTATTGTTCGTTAAATAGAAAATATAATGCAACATTTGTTTGTTAAATAAAGTATAGTTTAGTAATGAAAAAAGTTCGTAATGATAATTCGAAGGGACGAATCAGCAAGTGCATGATCCTCCGACCATATATGTATCGATCGATCGGTCGATCGATCCATCGATCGACCGGTCGTCTTTCGTTTCTCTCCATATATTCGACTCCGATGGATTCGCTGGTGCTACTACTACTACTACATACTACCAACAACCAACAACACACTACTACAACACTACTACTAAAAGGCTAATTGTAAGAAACGATCGCGAATGAGGTGCGTGTGCGATCCAGTGACCTACTTTATTATATTCTACAATATTACACGTACTCACACACACGTAAGCTTGTAATTTGAAATTATCCTATGTATATATGTTATGTATAATATATATCGTCGCCATGTTTGTTAGTTAGCGATCTTCGCGATTATCGACGTTCCGTTCAACGAAGCATGTTAGCGATTTTCTTCGGTGCTCGCACGCGATTTAGAAATCGCCGCCGCCGCCGCCGCCGCGTGTATTTGATTTATTACCACGCTTCAATAACATATTCTTTCTTTTTTATTTGCAGTCCAATTAAAAGATTAAAGATATTACAAAAGAATACGATCGCGAAATAGCTTTCTTTTGATCATTGACGCAACAACGGATCTATTATTTGTGCCAATTTTATCTTAAAATGATGAATCCATAAACGGATTTGCGGTTTACGTTTTACTCGCAGGTTTCTCGACCTCGACGACGAACGAAAGGAGATCGACGGAGGACATTGATCCGTACGATTTATTTCGTTAATGTCGTCCGTTGAACTTAGAAACTTCTGGCTCTCTCTTTTACTCTTGTTAGATGGATGCTGGATAATGGACCAAACGCGCAACTCACCGCGTTTATTCACGCATGACCGACACCCATCAATCTTACCTGAGATTTTACATTAAAACTCTTTAATCATAATGTGTCATTGATATATCTATAATCAATACGTACTTTTTCTCTTTTTACATTTGTTTATTTGTCTCTTTTCTACATTCGTTATACTACTTTGATTTATCTTAAGATCAATCATTAATTTCTCTAACAAGATTCTTACAACTTTTATTTTACAATTTATTTAGAACAAAAATATTCTACTATAATTTGTAATAGTAATAAAAATATTACAAAAAAAAAAATGTAGATTCTCCGTAAGACTTAAATTAACCAACATACTTAACTCTTTTGATTTGTTTTTATTTGAAAGCAATTTAAATGTTTCAAGAATCGATCGGGAACGAGTTCCATGCTCGGTGGATGTACAAAATGGTTGATTCTTTCGTTAATAGATGGCATCACTCACGAATTTGAAACCATTTAAAAAGCACGTGCTCGTACTTTAAATTGTCAATGGCATCAGTCGATGGTTGACATGTATCACAAAATATAATATATATTAATTAGAAAAAAAAAACAGTTTCTTCCTTGCTCGTAGGTGTGTAATACTTTTTCTCTTGCTCATTCTGATTAGATGAAAAAGTAACACTGAGATAACAACGTTGATTGGATTCTGGCACGTTCGCGCACATTGTTTTTCTATTTTTCTTCAAGGCACCCTCTTCCATACGAGATTTCCTAATATTTTATTTGAAAGCTTCTAAACCATGTAAGACTCCGATGACTTGTACCAACTTCTGTATGGATATGGATAGAATGAATACGAATAGACCACTGAAACAGATAATTTCTAATATTAATTACCATTACAATTTGAAAATTGAATTGAGAAATTAGTTTACCTAGCTTGATATGCGCATAAATATTTTTAATTTTCTTGTTCTCTTTTTACAGACGTCAAAGTCCAGAAAAAAATAAACTAGAAATTAATTACATCACGATCTCGTTTTCGTTCAATAAGAAATTAAGGATTTTTACCTGTTTTATTAGGTAAGTCGATATATATATATATATATTTCTTTTCTATCTAAAGTCTAAATTGTCAACATAGTTTAAAAGATCTTATCGAGTATTTACGTCACGATTCGAGTTTCCAATCATATAAGATATATAATGATAATAATTATGTTCCGTAGTTTAGTTAGAAATATTTCACGTTAGCCGAGTATGTATCCATATGAATATCAATCGATGAGAAAGCCTTCCCCCTCCCCCTAATCTCCTCCTTCTCTTGTCCCTCCCCAGTTTGTCCTCAGTTCTCCAAGAAGACCCAAAGACCTACGAACACTTTCGCTTCGTTAGCGGTTCGTCGACTTTTACTCGATCAACAGGCGCCCCTTTCTTCTTGTAGCTCTTGTAGCAAAAAACGAAAGTAAACTCGACGACTTTCCAGACTTTCCGCCCGGAACGGTCGCGTTGCTTTTATATTCTTTTGAACTCGTCTTTGTATCGACAAACTTTACAACAATTTTCGCAAACTTTCTTTCAATTTATTATTCAAAAACAAAACAAATGTATTGTTAATATTTTGAAAAATAAAGTTAGAGCCTGTTAGAGTCCAAAGAGTCAACCGAATTTCACGTAATGTTACCTGCGTCTTATCCTGAACAGTTTCTAGACTCGAAATGATCTCCTATCGTGAAAACTCGGAGATGATCTCGCTGTTAACCTCTTCCTTTGTATGCTACTCCTCTTCCAAATAATATTCCTATTGGGAAAATGAATGGCAGGTTGTAACGCGCTACGTTTTGGCCAGTAATGAGCGTTAATAGGATTTAACAATGGTAAAGTTAGAGGTTCTTGAGCGGCGATATCAATGTGAACACTTGAAAACGTTGGCAAAGCGTTAAAATCTTGTGCTTGTAGTTTTGGTAATTCTAATCCTTTCTGATGTTCCAACATTGATATTTTTAAGGTGTCAAATTGTGGCGTTGCTAGAGGTAAATTTGTATGCAACGAAGAGAGATCATTATAAGTTGGTATAGATAAATCCTTTTCCGGGAATGAATATTGAATCTGTTGAAGATGAATCGTTGGATATTCTAGACTCTGTTGAATGGACAATTGTTGTGTTGCCAAATTAGATGAAAAACCTGGTTCTATTTTCTGAGCTTCCAACGAGTTTGGATAAATTTGCGGTAACTTTTTCTCCTCGTCCAACTGATAAATCTGATCTTTGGTATAAATCACTTGTTCCGAGTTAAACGTTGGTTGAGGTTTCCCTGGATATATGGATGACGAACCTAAGTTGTTTTTATTATCGTTCGAGGAATATCCAGAATTTTGTAGTTCCTGTTCGTTAGATCCCATTTGAGGCCCACCAAAACTATTCTCTAGATCTTGGAGATTAGGATGCCGTAAATCCAGCTCTAGTTGATGATCCTTGTCATTCTGATCGTTTTGTTCCGTCTTCATCGGTTTCACGAGCAGAGGTCCTGAGCGATCATCGTCTGTAAACCGTGACGTCTGTCAGTCCCGTCTTAAGCGTTACTATTTCATTCTGTTTGTGTTGTTGCTGTTTATTGCTAATTATTGTAATTTGTCGTTAACTGTGTCTCTCTGTGTGTCTCTGTAATGTGCGTTAATTGTTGTAGACACTGTATTGGTAAAGTGGGTCTCGCGTTTTGTCGCTCAAAATTCCTTCAATTATAAATATGTATTCCTTTCGAATAAAAGTTTTGGGATTTTTCACGAGTGTTTAAACGTAACAGAAGTGTAAACAAAAAAAAAGAAATATTAATTTCTCTCGAAAAGGAATTCGAAGAAAGTGAAATCTTCGAAAGTTTAAAATACGCGCGAGAGTAGGTCATCGTGTTGTTATTTATGAATTTGAAGGTCCGTAATTGTAAAATATTCGTATGAAAATAAAATGAAAATGAACGAATGAACGAACGAACGAACGAACGAACGGCCGCTATAGAAAGTTAAACCGCTAAATTTTGCAGAAGACAAACGATTTCCTATCACGATGAGATGATGTTCCAATCTTCTTCCGCCTTTCCCACGCACAGGATAATCGAAAACAGTAAGATTTCTTATTCGACGACATTTTAATGTGACTTTAATTACAAAGATAATTATTCTCCTCGCGTAATCTTAAATCTCCTTCTCGGAAATGACGAATATATTCACGTGAACCCTGTTTGTATTGTAGATTGAAGTATATATGGAGTATTGAAAAAATTGATTTTTAAAAGAGAGTACGTCGATTCAAATCTATCTGAGAAAATATTATACACATGTACATATACTGTGAGTTACTTTATGTATGTGAATTGAAGTATAAACATAATATATAATATGAATAAAAAGTATTAAAAAATCACAATTGTTAAAAACACACAAATGTTAAAGACAAAGTATTGAAAAGTATTAAGGACACACAAATGTTAAAGAAGACAAGAATTGTTGTTAGTTACGTCCTGTATGGTTCGTGTCATGTAAAAAGTATTGGGAAACAGTTGTTTTTTTGTAGTTGTTGGTTTTCGTAAGCACAGTTAAGTGACCTACCGTCCGATGCCGATGGAAAATGTCCGTCGAAATGATTAGCTGGTCCAGAATAATCCTCTACTTGGGGTGGGGGTCCGTCGTAGGTGCTGTCGTGTTCTGATTTTTAAACAATTTACAATAATCAAATTTATACGTACAATTATTGTGTACAATTATTGAATCGATCGAATTGATTTTGATCTGTCAATGTCTTATTTAGTAGTTCGGTTGGAGATAACATTTGCGAAGGAAGAAGAACCCTTACGATTAGAACCTCGTCTAATTCGTTTCTTTCCTCTTTTTTTTTTTTTTTACCCTAATCGAAACTATTTGCTGCTTACCAATTGGTCGATGATCGTAACCATAACTCGGTGGACCATATTGTACTTTCGGTGGTTGCACAACAGCACTAGCCGCAATATGACGACCCAGCGAACTTATGGCATCACCAGTCGAACTGATAATTTTTCCTTTAGTAGATACCAAGAAACCACCTCCTTTGATCAGTTGACCTTTTAATGCGAGAACTCCACCACTTATGGCTTTTAATGCTTGTATAACGGTGTTTAAAATAGCTTTTTTGAAATCCCATACGTCAAACGTTTTCTCGCCATACTGAAATAGAAAAAAAAGTATTGTACTTATATAGATTTTTTTGTTAATCGAGTGAAAGCGGATCAAAGTAAGGAATAAAAAAAAAAAATAGCTTTCATATCATAGGATTTATCGATTTATCATTTGTAACGCAAGAATGAAAGTAGGTATGTCTCTTATGATATGTAATAACGCTGTTCGTTAAATAAAGCAAAAACAGTAGGTCGATCGCTTAGACACGTCATTTACTTTATAATTCTTCGTGATAATAGAGAAAAAAGAAGAGAAAAAAGAAGAATGAATCAAGCGATGCGATGCGATGCGATGCGATGCGTCGCATCACTGACCTCATTTTCGGAAGATTTCCTTCGAGCATGATACAAATTTACGACGTCATTTTATTCCTCTTTTTACTTCCTTTTTTTTCTTCTTCTTCTTCTTTATTTGCTATTTGTTGTTGTTCTTTTCCAAATCCAACGTTTTTTCCATGATAAATATTCCTTTCAAACTATTCACATGATATTCTGAGATCCGTGCTACTAAACTACTTCGAAATTCTCATCATCGTTATTTAGAATAATCAAGTTTAATATTAATCAATCTCATATCCGATCAATCGCAAAAACATGTTTATGTATGCCATGATTTATTTGTTTGATATACTTTTATCAAAATTCTACTGACTGAGTGAAGAAAATAGTTTCGTCACAATCGGGTGACGGTTATCGTTTAAAAATATTATTAATTGTAAGGTTGACAAGAAAAAGATAAAAGGTGTCACGAGATTGGAATGAAGACTGACTTGAATTTCCCTCCTTTGATGGAAAATCTCGATGACCTAATTTAAAGTTTACTAGCTTGTTAATATCTTTCGTCAAATGTTCATTTGTAATTTTTTAATCTACTCTATGACACTTTTTTTTTTATTAAGTATTCGCTTTCGATATTTAATCTTTTACTAGATATTACATTACACCCGTGTGGTGACCGGGTATGAAAGAATAGTCCCACTGTAGCTCATGCATGTCGTAAGAGGCGACTAAAATGGGTACCAAGTGTCCAGGTATATTTACAAATTTGGAGCTTTGGCATAGGTTTAACAACCTTACTATCATTTATCGGAATAATATGCCAAGATTTGCGCGCCAATGAAGAAGAAACAGATATTATATTACTGTTATTATTATCGACACCTTTCTCCGTTACATTACGTTTAAAACTCACTTTTCACGGGACATTTACTTCGAATGATATAACTTTGAAACAAAAAAATGAGATATTTATATTTAAAATATAAAAATAACTAATCGTTGCCTATTATCGATCGATTATGCAATCATATACTGTGTGTGTAATAAATATATGGTAAATATATATATATAAATATTTGATAGGAATATTACCGGTTGAACAGGTGGACCATAAACAACATGAGTAGGTTGACCACTGCTTCCCGAAGAACCTCTCGAAGCTGCTCCCGATGCACTAGCAAGACCACCAATTATTCCACTGGCTATACCCGAAATGATGCTACTAGATCCGGTAACAAAACCACCTGAACCCGATCGTTTAATTCTATCCTGTTCTTGCAATAACTCAGCGTACTTTGGATCCGTTTCAAAATCAATCCTTAATTTATTATCATCGATTTTCTTCATACTTCCCACAGCTTTTTTAAATTCATCCGATTTCTCGATCATCTCGAGAATTTGCATAGCTATTCTTTGCTCTTCCTGTTCCTTAGACTTCTCCAAAGTTCCCTTTTGTTCGATTATCGGCATCTCCGAACTCGAAGGAGGAGGATCCGACCCAGTTCGATCAATCGACCTTCGATACGGTGCTAATCGTTGTAATTGTGCCGATGCTCGTTCCTTCAGTTCATTTTGATTCAACAACGTCTTTTCTGATAGAATTGGAACTATCGAGCAGCATGATAATAAAATCAACAGGAACATCTGCAAATATTTGATTATATCTAAACACTTATCTCTTTGTAATTATCTTTAAAATTATCTTTAGGACCCAAGACAACAAGATCTGTTTCTTTCTTTTTCGTCAACAACTTTCTCGGTTCTTACTTTTTCAAAGTAATTTTTGCAAAATTGACAAAACGTAGGCACGTGTCCGACAATTTTCTCAAATTTGACATGCGTCAGAGCATAAAGTCGCATAAACTCGTGTAGTTGTATGCGTAGACAGTTAGTGGAGCGACTCCCCGGTGAAAGTCACGCGATGATTCTCGAAGATGGCTCGTCTTACGAAACGCCCCCAAGAAAAAAAAAAAAAAACATGACGTTTCATCTTTCGTGCACAACCTTTGTCCGTACTTGTGTGTCGTCTTATCGACCGAGAAATATGGAGAAAATCGATCGATCCGTTTGACCCCATTTTAAAAACAACTAGATTCATTTTATAAATTGTTCATATAAAAATAAATCAGTCGATCATGCAATCAAGAAGAAAATGACATTTAATTTGTTTTCTTGAAGATTTTAGAAAGCAAACGATTATCCTTGATCATCTTTGACATTTTACGAGTAGTAAAAAGAAAGTTTTAATAAAAATAAGCAAATAAAAATAAAAGAGAGAGAGAGAGAGAGAGGGAGAGGAAGAGAATAAAATAAAAAATATGATTTACAATTGACGAGGATGCTCTAACGAGGAAGTGTTTAACAGCTGGTGGAATAAAACGTTTGATAGAATGATCTCGAGAAGGAAACCGACCAATGTACTCTCTTGAGTTCGGAATCAAAGGCCGGTCTTACTCTCAAAACGAAAGTGATCGAGGATAGTGTCCTTGATCTTGCGCCATGGAGTAGTCGACGCCACGACCTAGATACATCCGAGCTCTATCTTTCATTATTTTATTCAACAATGTATACGCTTTTTAATTAATTATTTATTAATGTCAAGAGAGAGAGAGAGAGAGAGAGAGAGAGAGAGAGTATTCGATTCAAAGAGTATTCGAAGAAAATAATTTCCTTTACTTGAAATTCTAACGTTAAATATACAAAATGTTAAGTAAAGTCGGAAATGATGAGAGAAAATGATGATAGAAAATGATGATGATTCGAAGAAAATAACTTGAACGATCGAAAGATAACACAAAACTATTTTCTCTATTGTCAACTGTGAAACTCTCACTGACGAGTATGTTTATTTAACTTTCACGGTACTACACGTGTCTATAAAGCGAGTCTATATGTTTTATCGAGTAAAGTGCATAATGCATAGACCTTTTCAATTTGATATTTTGTCTTGGATCTTGTCGAATATGAAAAATAGTAAAAAATAAAAATAACCGAGAGAAAGATGGAGGGTAAAAAAAAAATAAAAGAAATGTGTCGCGATTATAGAACACCATTTAAATGTAGATATTCGCATACTCGACACTTCGCACTTTTCGCAAATGTTAAGAATGAAATGATTTGACTAGGTTTATGCACGGATAGGTTTAAGTATACCTTGTACTACGTGATCGTGACTTTCACGGTAGATCGGCAAAATGATCGCGGCACTCTCACTGAACTAACTGGCTGGCGCCATCGAGTACTTCCTCACTTTATACCAGCTCCCACCTTTAAACCAATCGCGAGAGAGTGTCCAATCTTTTTCTTTTTTTCTTTTTTGTTTTTGTTTTTTTTATATACTTACAATTAAAGAACTCCCAAATTTCTTTCGGACCTCCTACTCTCGTCTTGCTTTCCACGAATAATCAAAACTTTCGATAGATCGAACTCTATTGCAAAACCAGGAATCATCTTCCAATGTCTTTGTGTATTTTTCTTTTTTTCTTTTTACCTTTCTTAAGGTTTAACGAACCGTAGAGAAAAAAAATGTATCACATGATTAGACAAAATTTCTCTTATTTATCTATTTATATTTTAATGATCGTTTTACTCGTCGGTTATTAACAACGACACGTTCGTCAATAATCTACAATTAAAAGTTGACAATTATGATGATTTATATCAATTTGATTGACGTACAAATGATCCGTTGATAGTCGATTTGCTCAAAAAGATCTTTTTTTACTTCATTTGATTTGATTCGATTCGATTTTCACCACGATACTTGTTTTCCTTTTCGATCATACTTTGTATGCCATCCCAAATGAAATGTATTGTCGCAATTGCGTTACCTGCATTTTCTCAAGTACAACAGAAGTAGGAAGTTATGCACGGCAAGCCCTTTTTTTCCACATCGAACTTTAAAAGTCTAAGCACGCTAATGAAAGTGGTGAAATGTCATTATAGTTGCATCTTTATTTCATTTTGCTTGTCACAGGTGAGATCGTACTACGCATTTAACATAATCGATTACTTTGATGTTTTCCGGAAACAAAATTGATACATTTTTATGGTCATTCTTTTATAATGATGATGATGATAGTTTGCGAGGGCGTGTTGAATAGTTCTTTATTAGTTTCATTTCTATATATTTATTAAGATTGACGTAATAATAATTAAAAATAGCATTGACGACTATAATTACAAGGAAAGCTCGTCCTATTACGAATTCATTGTGACCTCGTCTAATTGTAAGAAGATTGAAAAGCATCATAAGAGATAGGGAGAGAGAATCTACTACCCTGACAGTTAATTTCTATTGTGTCGAAACTTCCATAATTATCTACCTCTTAATCTTTTCTTCTACCTCTTCGTACTTTAGTTTGTTGAAAAAATTTGGATTTTTTCGTTTACGATTATTCTTACTGCAATTTGCGAAAGATCTCTCAACTCACATTTCTTAATCTCGACTAATCTCTCATAGTTCTTAAGATTTAATTTCTACTTAAGAGTAATAATTAGTAAGAGACTTTCTTTCGATTTATTAATATTTGTATTTTTAAGATTGAGGAAGAACATAACAAAATATGTTGCACTTGTGTAACTACGTGTACATAAGGATAAATAATAATGAAGGATAATGATAGTGATATACTGCGAACAATTTTATTGTCCGATTATTTGATCGTACCACCACGTCATTCATCCTTTCGACGAGTAGAAAGTAGGCGAATTGTCGGACTCGTTTGCTTTTAACGTTTTTCCTGAACTCGTCGTCGTCGTCGTCGTCGTCGTCGTCGTTATAATGTGCTTGTTTACTGCGTAAACTTTGCTATCCGAGTAGGTACTCGCTTGAGATATAATACGAAAGGCAAGCGGCGCATCAACATTGTTCTACGAAGTAACAGGATGATTATAGTCACCGGTGTGCATTAGATTGTGACGCTCACTCCCAGAAATCAAAAGATACTTTGCAGTTTTTGTTCATTCCATTTCCTGTCAGTTACGACAGAATATTTCTCTCGTTATCGAATCCAATGATTTTATATTGTCTATATCCTTGCTCGCTTTTATCAAATTATTGTCATTAGTATTATTATACAACGACGACCAATCGACTAATAGGAAACTCGTCAATTGTTTCCTTTCATACTTTCGATTGGAATGAACTTTCAAATTTGACATTAGGTATATTCGTCAATTTACAGTTGTTCAATGATCGAAGTAATGATAGGTGTACTTAATAAGCATTCAAATAAGATATTTGAAAGGAAAATAAATGCATAATATTCGATTATAAAAGTTAATTTAACATAGAAATCGTGTGATCAAAAAAACGATCATTCCTATGATTGAATTTCTAGCGAAATTTGTTGGAAGTCGGTAATACTGTTTGCATGACAGTAATCTGACACAAGGTAGAATATTTCTCATAGAACTTTGTTACCACAAGTTCTTACTGAATAACACATCTCACGGATTCTCTGTATTCTCGACAGCTGGCGCATGCTGTGTGACCGCTTTTGCTCGCTATCATCGAGACTTTCCTTAACAAGCAGTATAATATCATCGTCCAATGTTATTAACCGAGATTCATTATATTTCGATACGAAGGTGAGCATCGGCTTGCTTACGAATTTGGAACTTTAATTGGCACCTCTAAGACTGTCATTTTCTCATACGTTAGTTATGATCATTTATTAATCGACTAACTAATATAATTCTATTATATATTTTAATAAGAAATTTCATTTTTAGATTTATTTACTCGAACGACAATAATCCCTAAATAATTTCTATTTCTTACAAAGGAGAAGATAACTGTACCGTTTCAATTTTAGAAAATGTACAATTCATTGTTCTCCTCAATCCCCCCTCTATTCTATTCTTTATTTACATCAGGCCAAATGTCCATCCAATACATGCATGCGAACTATCAAGTTTATTGAACTTTCTCTTACCTTCAATTTGCGTTTATTTCTCTTAGCTCGATCGCAAATAAACTATCAAATAAAAAATAGCTATGCACTATTCGTTACCACAATGCGTATATCTCCAAACGAATTTCATGAATTCTACAATGTATGCATGTATCAAACGATCAAATTTACTCATTGATTTTATATATATTATTATTATTATTATTATTATTATTATTATTAAAAATAATTTCTTAAAGTAAAGTCATAGCACATATCTTGTTTTATACGGTTTCCAAGTATTCCATCATTTTAGTCGAGACGCGATGCATAATTCGAGGAAACATCTGTTAAATAATATCCATTAAATTTCAAAGAAACGTATGTACTTTGTAAAGCATACGTTATTCATACTAATAAAAATAGAACTAGCCTTGTACCGTCTATCCCCTTCATACGAATAATTAAAAGATTTATCAACATGTCAGATTCCTTACAATTTATTAAGATAATTTTATTTCGTTGAAGTTTTTCCTACATTTATACTGGCAAGTATAAAATAAAGACAAAAGTCTTAAACGTATATGCATATGCATAAATACTCGTAAACGTTCTTTCGATGTATAATTTTATATGATTAATGTTCGCGGTATTGACCGGAATTGTGGATAACAATTTACCGACACTTTCTAACCACAATCTAATCCAAACTATAATAGGAAATACGAATGAGTAATCGAGAGTTTATGGACAATGATAACCAAAAAAAAATGGTTTTAAAATTAGACATTTATTTAACGATTTATAATAACTCTATACTATTTCCCCTCCCCCTCCCCCTCTCCCCTTCAAATTTCGACCTCGATAATCTTCCAATGGAATTTCTTTTAATTATGATTATTGTTATTATTAAAAGATTCGTAAAAAAAAAAAAAAATTCATGAAAATATTGTTGAGAAAGTCATTGACATCGAAACAGGGAAATGTACGAGACACTTAAAGATAAAATCATGTCACGTCGATAGAAAGGAAAAAAAACTATTAAAAAATAATTCATGTCCGTACTTACATACGTATGTATACACCTGCTGATTTTCCCGTTAAAAACGGCAGATCTTAACTCATTAATTAGTGTGTGTGATCATCTTACCTTGACGTCATTCAAGAAGGAAATTATTTTTATTTCAATATAAGTAGCACGTTTCTATCCTTACTAAGTGAAATTCTGCGCACGTTTTTTGTTTTTTTGTGTTTTTTTTTTGCTATTTAAATGAAAATAGAACGATCCTTATATACTTTTGCATCGTGTAGAATAAATAAATTATGTGGTCATTATGTGGTAGGTCCAGTGTAACAGTATTGTTCTATGAAATTAATTTAGAAGGAAACTGTCAATCTTCTTCAATCAACGATCACCATCACAGATGCAATATACTGCTTGGAAAATCCAAAACAATTGTATGCGTAACGGTTCCAAATCGACAATTATTACATCGTAATATTAATTTTGTTAGCAAGTTTGTAAAGCAAGCTCTTTGAAGATACCTTACACATAAATGTTATTAACATTAATTTGCATTTCTAAAATAGTTTAAATGTATTCATTTTTTTGGTGATATTATCAAAGAGAGAAAGAGAACAACAAAACGGCATATTAAAAATTCGAGTTATATCATTTCTATTAGCAAGATCACAAGGACGAACAAGATTATATTCGTTTTATGATGATTTCATAGTGAAAAAAAAAAACCTGTTATCGCACGTTTCATTATGTTCGACCAAATAGAGGATAAAGAAATGTTAATTTAAATTAATTGAAACGTCTAACGCGTTTATTACTCTGATAGATTAATGTGTATCATAACGTTAAAAATTAGTTGTAACTTTGAATGGCAGGCAACATTGAAACACGTAATATGTACGTTATGACACGTGTAAATATTTTACACAGATGTCGCAAGAAGCAAAAGTAAGATAAATAGTGGTAAACACGATTGCCTCCGATGTTTCTCTCGACAGTCACGGACAGAAAGGAGTGAAATAATAGTTTATGTGATAGTCTAATCATCCTTTTCATTACACACACACTCGTTTTCCTCCCATATAAGTGAAATTAATATTATTTCATCTTTAAAAGTTTACGCATCATATGTATGTGCAGTTGTATCATCGGAATACGTACGAGAAATTGGTAATTCATATTTGTGAAGACTGTTTCGATCTTACGTCAAGCGAAAATCATTTTCCAAATATACATATTTACATACCGGTGTGTATATGTTTGTACGTATGTATGTATAATGCGGTTGAATTCTAGTCGTGCTTTTCTGAAAATTAGGTAAATTTGGAAAACTACGGAAGAGGAAAATAAATGTACGAGATATGAAAGATCGTATCTACAAACAACGTAACTGACTCGAAAACGTCGACTACAGAATTTGAAGGAACGATCGTTAGATCCCCATCATATTTATCCTTACTAAGTGAGTATCGATTTGTTCGTTCATTATTTATTATAATATTATTTTGCCATAAAGATACCCTTGATTATAGCTTGTTGTTAATTAACGTCGACAGGGCGAGCATATCTCTGTACAAGTAATACGATTTTATCAATCAGTAATTTTATCTATGGCGAGTAGGGCATATTCTTGATGTTTATAATTTGCTCATAAATGTTCAAAACGTATGATTTATATGATGCGTTAGTTTACGAACAAACCGTCATTGCATCTCGGTTTTTGCGGTCTGACATATAAACCGATATCCATCGTACACATTTTGCCAGTGTTTGCTTAAAAAACTAATGAAAAAAGTTGAATCTGTTAGTAATACCACGCACAGTAGGTAGAAGAAGATAGAACAACCTATAAAAAACATAAATAACGTGTTTTTACAACTTCACAGTACAAAAGGTACAAGGTGAAAGGCAACGAATCAACGTGATCCATTTTATCTTTTTCCACATTTCCGCCAAGTTTACCACAACTTTTCCTTTATAGAATCCAAAATAGGAAGGAGAAAAGAACCAGAAGACTTAATCGAACATTTCGTTCTTTACATCATTTAATATAGAAGAGGAAAACAGAAAAAACAATAGTTACATTACCTTCGTGTGATTTAATGCGTGAACATTTATAAATAATTAATTGATTATAAGTTACGGAACAAATCGAGCGTCAAAATGGCCAACACTCGAATGAATTACCATCATCAACGAATGATTGTGATCAAAGCTGTACTTTTATTCCTGGTATGTTTGTTTCCCATTAATATTATTCTTTTTCTTTTTATATTAGTTTAATCTCATTGTTTGTAGAAAAATAAAAGTAGAGTAGAGAGGCGTATTGGATTTTTCGTTTTTTTCGACCAACATAATCAATTTTTTAATATAATATTCTTGATGAAAACATGAAAAAATTCGTTTTATATCGAACAATTCTCTTAAAAGTTTGTATTAATTAACTTCTAGCAACGCGATTTTATTAACGCTTATCCATTATAAATTTTATCGCTGATATAAAAGATTGCATTTTTTTTATACGGTTTTTCCTAGGGAGAGAGAGAGATAAATGTGATTTATAACAAGGTATAATTATTTCCGAGTTACAGATAATAGACAAAACAAATTCAGAAGAAAATTTCTTTAACGAACGTAAGTTTGATCGACCGTCATATCCTAGCTGGTACGATCGATCCTCACTAAATACACGTAGATGTAAGTATTAGAAAGAATAATCTTTTTCTGTATGAAAATAAAAAAAGGATTATCCGTAGTTATAACGATGAATAACTATTGTTTAAAGTAGCCGTTGATAATGACGATCGTATATACTTCGTCAAAGAAGATGTCAATTTACCAATATGCCAGAATGACATTTTTTGCGAAGATGTTCCTAATTATCCTGAAGAATTTGTAAAGGCTAAATTACGATCAACCAAGGGTATATTTGGTGTCGTAGATATCGTAAGTAACGCTATATTATAAAAATATATTTGATAAAGTTGAACGTTTTTCCATTATTTTATTTTCTATCGATTTCTAATGATTATAGTTAGTAAATAAAACGGATGATTTAGCTGTCAGAACGGATGTGGATGAAGTATCGCTATGCTTAAGCCAGGTAAATAGTTCACATTTATCTTTTATTTCATTTATTAATCAGCAAGGATTTGTTCTCGGTCCACAGGAAGAGATAATTCGTCCTAAAACTGCAAAATCTGTAAATGGGGAGTGGCTATTTATAGCACAGAATGGACAAGAATTCGCGCAAGCGGTACGCATCGAAGTTTGCATGTAAGTTCACCTATTTTTTCTACTTATTTTTTTTTACAAATTCTCACGCATCTTTAGAATTATTTGATGATACTTATGCACATCCATTTTCCAGGCATGATTCTCAACCATGTAGATTTTTCAGCTCTGAATACAAAACAGTTTGCGAACAAACTTACATTTTTCGCGAGCTTGTTGCAGTTAAGGATGATGGCTTAAAATCAGACTTGTTTCGTTTTCCTGCCAACTGTTGTTGCAATATCAAAAATACGTAGAATACTTTATTCTTCTTTTTAAATGCACTTTATTTAATTGACGTATATAATATATATATATATACTCGAAATTTCTAATAAAATATATATTTAGACGAAATCTATGTTTGATTTGTTCAGAATAATTTTAGAAAATGTGATACTCTCGCTGAAATATCCTGTACAAAGTATGTATATCGAGACTCTTGGTAAAAGTATGCAATATACTTAACTCACGACAGCACTTTTCTCAAAAATCGACAAAATTCTTCTTTTCCTTTTCATTCGGTTTGTTTCCATCACTTTTGCATCTTTTCCTTTTTCCCTTTTTTCGCCCCCATCGAGATAAATAAAGCTTTACTCAAATTGAAATATCTTTTTTATTTATCACCATTCAATTTCCTCGTATTCTTTTAATTACAATGAAAATTTCTTTCCTCTAGGAAAAATTAGAAAAAGAAAATGAGAACAGTATCGAGTGAGATGTTTTACAAAAAAACCAAAATGACAAATCTGTTATGTAAAAGTGTTCAAAGTTATATGAAACGAAAGATAAATTTGTTCCTTTCTTCTTCTTCTTCTTCTTCAAAATAAAGAAGAAAGAAAATAATAATAATCTAATCGAAAAACTAATCACATTAATTATTTTTTTCTCAAGCGTTATTTATTATAGCAAACTCGGCGATAAAAGGGAAACTTGCACGTGCCGAGAATAAAACGATATCTTTTGAAATTATTACTAACTTTCTCATCTCCTTGATTTATATTTTTTTATTAACTTTAATTATACCCTTGTAAACTATGATTTTTTTTTTTTTGTTATCTTCAACAAAAGGAGGATCTTGAATCGAATAACGTCATTTTTCTTGGCGTATATGCGTTAAAAAAGCAAATTCAAAAATGGAAAAGTAAAAGATCCGTGTTCGAATTCTGAAATTAGAGAATTTGTTCGCAAATCCTGCAATACTTTTCAAAAGTAGAACCATCGACGAGATAAACGACTTTTCTGTAGGTAACATCATTTTTCCAAATATTTCTTTCGCGATTCGGGTTTATCTTTTTCTCAATTTTCATCAAATTTTGTTCTCTTTGATAGAAGGAATAAAATAAAATACAATATAATTATAATAGTAAATTGAATTGAAGTACGGTAAAGGATGAACGTTTGTTTTTCTTTGAATAATTGTGTACGATTACGCTTACATTAACTAAAATTCCCTTTTTTATGAAGGTAGAAGAAAATGTACAGGTACCTACACCGAATGCGTGTTGTTTGTATCAACGAAAGAGGGTAAGAACAAAGCTTGTGGAAAAGGAAAGAGCTAAAGAATAGAAGAAGAAAAATGTAATCTCTTTGAAAAGAGCTTTTTACGCGTTCTCGTTCGCTCGTATTCGAAAAGAAGCAAAAAAAGTGGAATAAAAAGAAAATGAAAAGGAGAAGAAGGAGTGTGAAATAACTTTTATCAAAGTTAAATCTAACAACCTAAGTTCGTAATTACTTTGACATTTTTTACGCGATAAACAAAAAAAAAAAAGAAATACGAACGTAATCGTCGGAATGTTAGGGATAAAGAGATTAAAATATAGTCTGTAGATTTGCAATTGGGAGGATACTTGAATATTTTCCTTTGTAAAAAGAAAAAAGAGAAAATATGAAAGGTGGTGGTGGTGGTGTTCTGATTTATATCGTATCTTTTGCGTCCAACCGTGGTAATGTAAATTATTCGATGACAGCTTTTTGCAACGCACTATTTCCGGTATAGTATAAAGAACCAAGGCGGCCGGCGCCGCCGTTAACATCTGTTCGATGCAACGTTCCAAGATAAACAAATTACGAGATCGTTCTTTGGATCGATATTATCGAGATCGATATATTCCATAAAATGTGCGTTACAAGTTTTCTTTAAAACTTGAATAACCTTCGTGATGTTAAGACTTAAGTAACTATACTTGTATCGTACAAAATTCTCCCACCGAATTGTTTACTTTACTTTCACAAGTAATAACTTGAATCTGTTTTTATTCATTTCACGATCATACGTCAAAGTTGATAGACCTTTTGATTTAGCATTATCGTATAGTCAAGCACCTTCAACACATTTTCACGACAACAGTCCAAAGGAAATTCGTTTCAAAATTTATTCAAAATTCGTTGATTGTTTCGAGTAAAGAGAGACGTTTAAAAAACGAGGACGTGTACCTGTTGACTGTCGAGTTTTTTTTTTTACGATTTTTTAATTAAACCCAAACAGAGAAAAAGAGAACAATTTACCTCTGATGGAAAATAAATTTCATTCGAAATATTTTATAATTATAAATATAGTTACTGTTGTGTAATCCAATTTTTCACATTTCTACGTACAATATTCAGTAATTATTATTTTGAATACCATTGAGCATATCAATCGGAGACATCTTGCATACAATTGTAAATTCTAAAAGCGTTTTGTTAAAAAACATATTGTAAAGAATGAAATGAAAAATCTCTCTGTTATTGTTAAAGTGTAGGACGAAATTGAAAGAAGGATTGAACGAACTTCTCTAATTTAATTTCGCATTGATTTATCCTGTTTATTCGCATTCCTTGAGCTTTATCTAAAGCTCGCATACAAGGAAAGAGTTAGAATTACCATATTAATGTACTTGCTGCGTTTCAAGATTTTATCGGTGCGAAATTGTGTATTCGTTGAGATTAGAGGACGCGGTCACGTATGGTCGTGTGCGTGCTCGTTGTTCGATCTCGTGATATATAAAAAGAAAGAACAAAAAATCTAATAGGATGGGAAAAAATAGAAAGAAAGAGAGAGAGAGAGAGAGAGAGAGAGAGAGAAAAATTCGATACATCGATTATAACACATCTGAACAGAACAACGTTGTTCGTCGTTTCGATGAAATCGATGAACCGTACAAATTTACATCCGAAAAGCGTCATTGTCTTTTGATTTTGGTGAATTTCACTATACCACCAGATGGAATCAATGCTCCCAAATTCAAAATAAATTTCAATACAATTTGTCCTTTTTTTATTTGTCGTCGTCTTCTTTTCTTTTTATTTATTTTTATCTCTAAAATTTGATCTCTCTCCCTTTGTTCATTTTCAGTGTTACATTAGATGGATCGTATAATTTTTCGATTTTTCGACAAAAGATGTTACGCGCGAAAACATATGGGTATAGAAAGAGAAAGAAAATGTGATGAATCCATTGAAGTGGACGTATAATTCACATGTAATATTATATACAGATGTCCCGTTAATTTGTCAACCGTACGGATATGACAAGAGCTAAAAAAAAAATGGTATCCAAGAGAAAAAAACCTTGAAGATTTTTTTTTTTTTTAACGTGAAAACAAAACTTTTGACGTTCTTATATGAATGTATGCATATCGGGTAATGCATATGAAACATGTGCATAATACAAAACAATGCAATTTTTGTGAAAAAGTAAATAACACGGGACGAGACTATCGAATAGCACGCGATATATTTCATTTGAAGTATATTATTGGGTGCGACGGTGTGTACAAGTTTTTGACAAGTAAATTAAATTGCTTCAATTTTCAAGTCTAATTTACTTTTCTACACATTTTCATTTGTAATAATAAGTTAATTATTCACATTGATTTATTGAATTGTTCGAGAGATAATTGATAGGAAATTGTATCCATCAAAAAAGATTTTTCAAATAACGAATTATTTCGTAAATTGTTAGCTTTTCATTTTGATTGTATCCTATACATATAAAAAAGCATGAATATGTATGTATATTTTATTGATGTATGTTAATATTGTAGCATAGGCCAAAAATAAAGAATCGCTGGAGACTTAGTCGACAAGAGCTTTATAAATATTTACGGTTCATTAATAAAACGAAGGCATAACAACAAGCGAGCATTATCAGAACGAATATGAATTTCGAAGGAACTATCCTAGCAAGAAATCAACCGACAGAACAAATCATCTTTCCAAGATTTACTCGAATGTTTCTTTACAATTTTTCAATATAATCTTTGTAAACGTTTCGGATAAAATATATCAAAGTCGATTAAAACTTAATCGAAAGAGAACAATTATCTCCACGAAATTAAAAATATATACTTAAATCATAATAATATAAATTATTATGATTTAATGTTATTATTAAAAAAAATATAAAATGAAGTATTGATCGTCGTCGTGTGGTTGAATAATAAAACTTGAAAAAAAAAAAACAAAAAAAGAAACATCCTCTAAGCGAAGTTAATCGGTTTGGCTTTAAAATGGATTTATATATACATATATATATATATATATATATATATATATATATATATATATATATATTTTCTGTAATCGTTTTATAAAGGATAAAAAATGATTCGATTTGCAGAAAATCGGAAAAAGAGATTTTGCATTAGTGGCAACCTCGCTGGTAACCCTTTTTTCCGGTCTTCCTGTTTTTACTTGCATACACGTATCGTATACTTGCAGGACGTATCGATCTTGATTTCAAGGGCATTAAAATTCGTCGAGACTTTCATTTCTACGGCATATCAAGAGGAATCTCGACAGATTTGAATTGGTAAGAGAGCTCGCATTAATAGTAAGAAATCTTGAAAATGGAAAAAATAGTTGGAGTATTTTAAAGGAAGAAAAGGTGACGGATAATGTATTCAATGTCGAAGAAATGTGAAAAAGCGTCTTAACTTTGAAGCCAGACTGTAGACTAAAAAGCTTTGTAAAGTGAGAAAAGAAAATCCTCTAACTTGTTATTCTTTTCTATTTTTCTCTTTCTCATTCCCATTTTCATTCTATCTTTGTTTAAAGAAAAAGTAGAAGATAAACGCGACAGACATAACTATGAATATGATTTTTAAGAGAACAAAAAATACCGGAAGAATATCCTTTGATTCTGGATTCATCCAGAAAGTAAGAAAGAGAATAGAGAAGAAAAGTAAACAATCATGAAGATCGGAGGGAAAAATATTCCTACTTTGTTAGGTCTCTCTTGGAGAAACTTTATCATTTCTTTCCCAAGAAGATATAATGTCGTTTATTCAATAAAAAAAAATATAACTTGCTTCCTCCTCTCTTTGGTGTTACTTAAATCGGCCAAAAAATTGCCTCAGTTATTATTTCAATTTATCTTCTTCCTTTTAGTCCTGAATTATTTAAGAAAACTTTATCATTGACAAATTGAAATATGATGAAAATCTGTTTACTTACGAAGACAAAACAAAAGTTGGATTGATTTGATAGAAATAAAT